AAAAAATCAGCCTTAAGGCCTAGTATACACGAAGAATGTACATTTACATCAAGGTCTTAGAAAAAGCTGCATTTCCAAAGCATCAAGGTAGATGCAGTACACATGCCAGGACTTTCGGTGGCGCTGTGAAACCGCACCAAAAAAATATTCAAACCTCAGACAAAAACACTGGACTCATCCAAAAATAGACACAGCAACATGGTGTTGATATCTATAAAATAAACCATCTAAACTGGTCTCCGTTTGATTAGGGCCAAGGTTTTTAAGAAAAGGGCAGTGCAATTCATTTTTAGTCAACAAGTAATATCAATCAACTTTGGATTGATGCATAAAGTGACTAAAATAAAAAAAGAAATCCCTTATTAAGTTGTTTATTCTATTGCATCTTTAGTTTATGCATTAATCAAAGTCTTTCAGAATCAAAACCAATAATTTAACATCACATTATTCAAGCAGTGGGTAAAGATAATTGTTTGTATTTGTTAAAAAAAATATACACTCAGATTATAGCCTAGTAAACTAGCCCCACCCGCCAGCGGCCAAAATCATTTTTGCCTGCGAGTGCTCTAGCCTCGATCAATGCCCCAGGCCCCAGAACTGGCGGGCCAATCACAACGCAGAGATGTGTTTTGAATTTCTGGATGCAATGTGGGCGGGGATTTGAGGGCGTGACGACAAAGCTGCACGACGCTGGAGAAAGCACAACAAGGAAGATGGGAACAACTATTGAACAGTTCCCGTTTGACTCAGCTTTGGAATCAGTTTTGGAAGGATTAGACTTGGGGAGCAGGAAGAGGCTCTACGCTCATTCATTTTTAAGGAGGACGTATTCGGCGTTTTACGGCAGGCTGTTTGTTTACACTCCCCCACCACCTTTATATCGCGATCACTACGTCACAGTCAGTTGCGCTCATTGGTCAGATCGTTGGCCAATAGACACAGACATGGCTTGAAAAACAACGGGTTGTTCTCATCAACAATCTTCCAATGTCTCATTCATCAGGGCCAGACTAAATTACACATTTAATCTCCCATTTAGTCTGGTTTATCAGGCTACTCAGATTATACTGAATTTGTGTTTTAGCGGTCATGCTAATAAGCTCTAAAGATGCTGCAAAATGCTGAACCCAATGATAATCAACATCTGCTTTACAGCAAAACCCTGAAGCTAAATGAGGAAGACGGGCTGTCTGCTCACGTAACAGGAAGCGCACAACAACACAAAGCGGCAGTCCAGATCTTTGAGCCATTTTTAGCAGTTCCTAACCAGTATTACTCCAACACTCATGTTCTTCACCCTGAAACACCTGCACATGAAGGTAGTGTCAACAGACAGCATCTGTTCAGGTAGAATATATATATGTGTTTGAAAATGCCATGGTAACCAGTGGTTAAAAAAAACAACCCTGGGATAGGTGGAGCAGCTCTTCAAAGCCAAGCTGAGCTGCAAAAAGCAATGAACGCCAGCTTTTCAGCCATCTCATGAACAGAGGGGGGGGGGATCTTAGTGCAAAGCAGTGGAGATGTGAAGGGGGGGTGAAAACAGCCTGAGTTCAGACTGCAATGCAGAGCTGGGAGACAGTCTGTACGCACGTGGATGAGAGGAAAGAAAAAACGAGGATCCAGCACTAATGAGCTCTGACATATAACCTTGCTCCCAACGTCGACACCAGGTGGACAGATGAGGAGGGCTGGAGCTGAGGAGAGACCGCCTCCCTGCAACAAAACCAGACTCCATGGCCACATCACCACCTCTATAAAGGTGCTCCTCTACCTTTCCAGCACCTTCCACTTCATGCATTCTGGGGGGTTTTCTGCATATCTGTGGAGATATGCAGATTTTTGCGCTAAATGAGGGTAAAATTGCATATCTTATTCAAATTAAAAGCGTGAGATCATTATATAAGACTTATGTCACCGAGGGTATGATGCATAATGCGCAGCCACAAAAATCCCCCCAAAGCGGCTGTTTTGCAGATCCAAATAAAACCCTGATTGATGAGCTTTAATGGGAGAAAGGAAGATCATCAAAGGAGGGGAAACTAAAGCGACCACCTTAGCGCCAAATGGGTTCCAGAGGCCCGATTAATAGAAAACGGGGACCTCCTCCTCCTGCTTTTCTCCTCATTGATCCCTCCTTTCAGCGCTTTATCCTGGATAAACTTGTCGATGAGGAGAGCTGCTCCAAAACTTTGATCCAAAGACACTAAAGCGCAACTACCTGAGCCGCGCAACTCGGCCGTAAATAAGCCCGAGTTGAAGGGGAAAGAAAAAGGTTCCAAGTTTTGTGGAGAAACGTGGTTCAGGGTGTTCCGCTTCCAGCCCTGCCCTTCCTGGCGCAAACAGCCATTGGATTAGCGGCGGATGGAGGGGAGGAGATGAGACACAGACTGCGCCATTGTTAAAACGCCGCTAAAAAAAAAAAAAAAGAAAAAGAAAAAAAAAAGCAGCTTGCTTATAGATGAACGCACATACGCGATTTCTTTATTTAATTATTATTATTATTTTGCACTCTACGTAGCCCGACATTCAGAAACAAAAAACGTTTGAAGCGTTAATAACCTCAATAACCCAACCTGATTGGGTTCATCTGCTGCTCAACATAATAATTACATCTAAACAGATCAGAGATTCGCCTAAAAAAGGCTTATATTGACCATACCTGTGACGGTGGGGTTTTAATTGGAAAGTTAGCCCAGCTTCAGCACATAGTCCACCCTGGCGCAATCAGTGGCAGCTATACCGCTCACCGCTAGGGGCGCTATACGCGCCTATTATTTCTGCCATGGTGATGGTGGTAAACAGCAAGAAGTGAATAAATCCTCTTTACGTCACATGTTATACGGTTGATTAAATGAAGGTATTAGAGATGGTTGGTGGAACCGGATAAAATTGGCCCTTCTCCCACCCCATCCACCCCCCCACCCCCCTCCCTCCAGCGGAAAACAGCATTGCCTGCCGTCCGCCATTAGGAAGCCTGCGGAACAATACTGGAGAGCAGAGGCGGCCGCTGCAAGGAGCCGGGGAGGAAAGCTGGTCACGTTAACAGTTTATTCAGCCTTTAGTTAACCTCCTTTGGCTGCTGTGACTGAGCGGAGACTTCCCCAGGAACCCCACACACACACCCCCCACTGGTTCCCCGCACAAGTTCCAGAAACTTTAACCAATTAGGCACGAAAGTGGGAAATAAAACCCTTGTGGGGAATATCCTTACCGGAGGAGAGCTCGAAACGCTGTAGCGCCACTTTTGTGCCTTGACATTAATCCGGAGGGCGCGTGCGCACTACGTACAAGGCTTCACGTTCCATGCAGAGATCGTCTATAGCACAAACATCCTACACCCACACCTCTTCTCACGAGTAACTGCTGTAAAAAGATGTATAATTCAGAGCGTAGGTTTGCAAAGGGACATGCTCCTACCAATATTTTGGACCGACCTACTTGTCCCTACCAACAATTAGATGTGAGTATGTGAATATCATGTTTATAATTTACAATACAGCCTAGGCTCAGAGGCGTAGCCAGAAAATTTTAATAATGGTGGCCACTGAGGGGTGGCCGAAAGCAGATAGGCGCCAGAACTTCACAGTCAGCCTACATTGTTTCAACACGAATGAGCACAACATCCATATTTTCTAAATAAAGAAAAACTAAACTTTTCTGCAGCCTTTGCTAACAAGTAGACGCATATATTTAAAAATCCATGCTGTCTAAATAATAGGTATAGTTGACAAAATTTCTGGGGTGAACATATTTTTTATTGTCATTACCTACTTTTATCAAAAATTGTTTTGCATAAAATTAATATTTACATGTAATAATATCTACATTAAGTGGATGTTTTAGTAATTATTAAAGTAGTTATTTATCTATGGTTTCACTAATGAGTCGTTTGATGTGCACTGTGTTTTAGTTGTTAAGTAATTGTTAATATATGAAAAATTAAAATGTTTAATAAGTTTTAACATTCCCCTTCAGAGCATTACNATATTTTTTATTGTCATTACCTACTTTTATCAAAAATTGTTTTGCATAAAATTAATATTTACATGTAATAATATCTACATTAAGTGGATGTTTTAATATTCTGTATACGAGTTCTTTATATATCAACTTTAATGTTAGTATTTTGATGTGCACTGTGTTTTAGTTGTTAAGTAATTGTTAATATATGAAAAATTAAAATGTTTAATAAGTTTTAACATTCCCCTTCAGAGCATTACTGCTGCCATCTGTATTACAGTGTGGGAAAAAAATGGTAGGGTTGGCCACAGGGGTGGCCAATGATTGGCTAAGGGTGCCCATGGCCACCTCTGGCCCCCCATCTAGCTCCGTCCCTGGAGAGGTGTAGCCAGAACATTTTTATAAGGGCGGCCAGGCAATAACCAATGTACACTGAGGGGTGGCGCCAGAACCTCAGAGTCAATCTACACTGTTCCAACAGGAAAATGAACAGGGAAAACATCCATATTTTCTAAATAAAGACAAACTATACTTTCCTACAGCCTTTGCTAACAAATATATACATATATTTAAACACCCATGCTTTCTAAATAAAAGGTATAGTGGATAAATTGTGCAAAAATGCTGTAGAAAAACATTTCCGAGTTGAGTTCTATTTGGTTTGATATTATCGGTGTGATGCTGAGTACCGATTTGTTGACTTGATTTATTATTATTTTTTCAACAGTTTAGCAGTGTGACGGCGGAGGGGAAAAGCTGTTACAGAATCTGCTGGTCCTGCATTGGATGCTGAGGAGCATCTTCCCAGAGGGCAGCAGGGAGAACAGTCCATGGTGGGGGTGTGATGGGGTCATTGATGATGTTACGGGCTCAGGACACACAGCGCTGGGATGAAATGTATTTAATGGAGGAAAGAGGATCCCCGATGATCTTCTTTCTACACCACACAGTGAGACAGCTGGTCAGAACGCTCTCTATGGTGCTTCTGTAGAAGATGGTGAGGATGGGTGGGGGCGGGTGGGCTCTCCTTATGGAATGAGATGATTTATGTTGAATATAAAATAAAAACAACCACAACTTATTATTCCAGGTGTATAAAACTTAATTATCTTTTTGAAGAGCAAAAATATTTATTCTATTTGCAGATCATCTAATCAACATCCTTAAATTAAGGGCAAATACACTGATTTTATGAAATGATAAGTTGTTTAGATTTGTTTTAAAGTGTAAATCCCAATTCATATTTTATGATAATATGTACCAACAGATTAGACCGTATATAATCCGTCCCTCTGATCAATTTGATAATTAATCTTTTGAAATTTACTGTAAATGTTCTTTTTAAACAGCCCTCTTTTTGCTTTTTATGACTAAAACATTGTTTGATGAGCAGACTGACACCTCAGTAGTTCACAGCAGATGCAGCTACAGTATAAGTCTGTAGCCTATTATCCTTTCAGGTCGGATGTTCCTGCGCTGTTCGGTGGATTTGACGTCAAGCGCATGCATGTTGAATGGTTCCAACCTAGCAAACAATTGAGCGTTACACACACCATGGATTTTATGGGTATTCAGAAGCGCCTGCCATCTAAGCCGAAACAAGGCTTTGTTTTTGCTCCACTCTATAAAGCCTCAAACTCAACGCTATTTCTGACATTTTGATTTTAAAAAAGCTTCCTGGATGGGAAGAGAAATGTCTTCAAACTTGGAAAAACAAAATCCAGTGGATTGTTTTTTTTAACTTTTTTAAAAATTTAGCTCAACTCAGACACCAATAGAAGCTCCATGTAAGGTCAAAATGATAAAAATATTTCACACGAATTAAACAAAAACCTGGAAGTAATATAAGAAAAGAATAGAGCAATTAAAAATGAAAACATTATAAACGCATTTAGAAAAACATATATAACAGTAAGCCACAAACTTAAACTAACGATACCTCAGTGATCAGTTTAACTTCAACAGTCAAAGGCAGCTCTAAAAAAATGGGTTTCTAACTTTCAGCTTTTTTTACAGTCTTCTGGGAGCTTATTCCAGATCAGTGGAGCATAGGAACTAAATGCCGCTTCTCCATGTTTGGTTCTAGTTCTGGGTGAATAGAGTAGGCAGGAACTAAAAGACATGAGTGGTCTGGGAGGTTGATGCACTGAAAACAAACTGCTATGTATTGAGGTGCTCTATTCAGTGATTTATAGACCAGCAGAAGGACTTAAAGTCTATTCTCTGAGCTACAGGGAGCCATTGGAAGGACTTAGAACTGGGCTGATGTGCTTTAATTCCTTAATGAAGCACACCAGTAATAATTTCATGGACAGTTCCAGACTGGGGCCAACGGGGGGCAGTGCCCCTGTAGATCATGTCCTGGCCCCTTTTATGGCCCCTGTGCTGAAGACATTATACTCAAAGAAGTTCTAATGATGCTATGCGAAGGAACAGACATTGTTAGCTTCAGTGGTATTGAGATAGGATCCCAGTTTTCATCTGCTAAATGTTTTCTTCAAAACAAATAAAAAAAATACTCTTATATATATACTTATTTATATATCCTTATAAAAAACAGTAATTTTAACTTAAAATAAGTCAAAAAATATGTCAGATTCCTAAATTATGAATGTATATTACCTCATAAGATATAGAATTTAAATTAAACCTAATTGAAAACAAATTTCACTTCATGCAGCTATCTTAATATATTTGAATCCATTACCGTGTTTTTTATTTCATGCTTTTTTGGGCCCCCATGAAAACACTCTGGCCCCCTCCTGGCCCCTGGTACATTTGGTCTAGAACCGCCACTGAATCATT